AAGGGTCCTCACTGACCTCCTTGTAAAATCCAGAGGTCCGATTCACAAGGAGGTCTTTGTTGGGTAAGACCTCTTTTCAGTGCGGTTTTTATTATTCTGTGATGCACTTAAACAGTAGGATGAACTTTTCCTAATCGACTGAAAAAGTGGCAAAAAGGGGGTTTCTGGGAAGTGCAGTCTTCACTATGTTGACGCGCAATATTGCATTGACTAGCTCAGCTGCTGGAAATGATCCCCATTAGTACTGTGAGCAAGACTCTCCTCTCCATAAACAGTTGAGTGACAAAATGAACAGTTGAACCTTACTGTACTTACCAGATCGTACTTATGAACTATTCGCCAACTGTTCGAAACCAGCTCACTATGAGTCATGGCATATTCGAAGTTTCCGACCCGTGGCTGCCCGTATGTGATTAGATAAATCCTGAACAGAGAACATTCGCAGTATTTTAGTGGCACTGTTTGGGACTGCTGGATGAGCAGAGCAGGGGAGACCTGGTTGGCACGCTCCTCCTCTTCTCAGCCTCTTCATCGCCGTAGAAGACGGAAAGAGGAGAGAGAGCGGAGAGAGGAGTGGGAGAGTGCTGATAACGTTGCTGCTCGATTCGGTCCACGACAGTGTCCCGAAATTGCGTTTAGCTTCTACCCCATTTTTTCAAAATACATAGGGCTAGATTTTCACCAAATTTCGCTAATGGGAGTATGTTTGAGGAGGAGTTTTTGTCAGGCAGATTATCCCTCATAGATGAGTGTTACATCCTTTTGACGATCACTTACTCTGGCTGCCACACTACATGTGCCAGGCAGATTATTATGTAGCATTCGTACCTGTCTGTCCATGGGTTAAGCATCCCTATGGACAGGTTTAAGACTAAAATCCGCATTGTTCCAAAAAAGGGAGCGGAACAAGGCAAATGGTGCTGAAAAAATACACTTCATGTCCAGAAGATGGGAATGATGTGGCCGCACACTCAATTTAAAAGTTGGCTGCAGCTGCGCTTCTGGTGGGGCATGACTGCTTTGAGACAAGTGTAGTCATGTATTTCTCCACACAAACAAATAGCGGTTGTCTGAAATGAAAATATTCAACGAAGTACGCTCGGTACGCACCCAAAAGTACGCGACCACGCCCTCTCTATCGTCGGGACATGAACTGTAACTATGTAGTAAGCTAAGCACCTACCTGTCCGTAAGAGGCTGGATGTCGGTGAGCGTACAGAGTGGACGCAAGACTAGCTAGGGCACCTCCTAACGAGTGACCAGTGAACAGGATACGGTACGTGGGATAAGTCTAGATAGAAGCGTTTCCATTTGAGATCATAACTGCTCCACAGAAAAATTCTAAGAACGGGGCCATGGAATTAGCGGCTTCAAAATTTCACTGCGAGGCTTACATCAGTTATTCATAAAGTATAGTCTGTGCTGTAATCGTTCTTTTACAGTGGTTTTTACTGGGTCACAGAAAGCCGCCTCTCAAGTTTAGTTGTTTAGCCCAACTACCTTGTGAGCATTCCGTGGAAGTCTCTGATGTCAGCAAGACCGAGTTTCAGTAAAGATGGTTCTGTGGCTGTTATCCGTTCTATTCCCAGGAGATCGGATGGTGAAGTGAATCTGAACCGGTGAAACAGAACCCTCGAGTCCTTCACAGCCATCTCACTGATAGTATGTGAATTCTTATTGATAAAGGTATTGCTCGTTACCAGACCATTCAACATCTTTATTGATAGGCTTAGTCTATACGGATTGTGTGGGTGGAGTCACGATACCCATTTCCGTTAATATGCCCCTTCTAATATGCCAAAAAGGAATAGTAGGAAGCCTAGTTGCAAGCCTGACCTCGCCCAGAAGATAAGTGTGGAATGTGCTTTTGAGACCAATTCAGTGGAAAACCACTTACTTTCCGTAGCTTCGTAATCACTGCATACATCTGCTTCCAAATCGACTGCAGCGCTACATAGAAAGTAGTGTTGCACGGATCCACCAGCACGAAGCTAAAATTGAGTAAGACTGAATCTTTCACGACTGTAACGAGACCTCTGAGAAATTCCCAAAAATAGGGCAGAATTTCAGAACCAAGGCGTGAATATCCTCCCATCGAATCTGTCATCTGTGTAAGTGAAAATAGAAAAAAAAGGTGAAAGTTCCCGCCACTGATCAATCCTTTTTGGGATGCGGCATTCTGCTTCCATTCAGAATCGTAGTGGCCTATTGAATGCGATATGGCCTATACAATCTTGTGGGGCCAGCCGATGTATTAAGTCAGTGTTTTTATCCTCCATGACGGATCTTATA